ATAAATAAATAAATAAATAAATCTGACTTGTTCTGTTCACCAGTTTTAAAGTTGTTTTGTGCCCAGCATTTCTCATGCTGCATGCACCTCACCCAAAAATGAATTTACAAAGCAGTGGCTGTAAGCTTATTGCTTAGCTTAAGAAAGCTGTTTCTTAGCATAAGAAAATGGTTAACTTTCAGTCCATTCCTAGAGGTCTTCATCATTCTTGATTCCCAAGAATTGTAGCAGGCACTCATTCTTTGATGGCTAGGAACAGACTGAATGTTATGAATTTTCTCATGCTAAGCAACAGGATTTCAGCCAGCTTGTGATATGGGATCGGAGTCTACGCGAAACAAAAAATAATCTACAATTTTAACATTTCCAAGTCTATGGGTACATGTAAATAAGCTGCTTGGATCTTAGCAATTGATTGTAGTGCACAAATATTACTGTTCTTTTTGCTATAGAATAAAATAAAACAAGCAAACTTCGCTTAGATGTGTGCATGACTTAAATACTGAAATAAATAGCTGGTGGAAAATTCCTCTACTCAACTTGTACAGCATTTTATTTTCAATTGTTAAGACCAAGATTCATTCAGTTTCCACCATCTTTTATTAAAAATAAAGTGTAGGGTAGCATGACTTGGAGAACTCCTCCAGTCTGGCTGTTTAAGGTAACTGTGATTTCAAGACCACAGTTCCATATTCTGTAGTGGAAAGATACAACTTTGTCTGTTCCAGTTGTTTTGTACTATTATTATTTTATTATTTATTATTTATTTAATTTATACCCCGCCTATCTGGTTGGTGAGGACCACTCTAGGCGGCTAACAACAACACTAGACCAGTGGTTTCCAACCTTGGGTAGCCCAGGTGTTCTTGGACTACAACCTGGCCAGTATAGCTAGTGGTGAAAGGCTTCTGGGAACTGCAGTCTAAGAACACCTGGTTTACCTAAGGTTGGTAACTGCTGTACTAGACTGTTCATGATCTGTAGCTGTTACAATAGTCAGGAATGTTTTGTCAACCATTGCCCAAAGCATCAGACAGCCTCAGGTTTGCTTTCCTTCTTATATGTTTTTTTAACACAGCCAAAATACAAAGTTTTGTCTAGTTGACTTTTTTCATGGTACTGTATTTAGATTAAATTAATGTGTATTTTTTCCAAATATTGAAACATTTAAAATATGTCTGAAATGCTGGAATATAAATGAAGCATGTTGATTAATATGAAATGACTAAAGTGAAGCTGCTATTTTAAATTTAGACTCTTTAGAACTGGGCTACACACAGGCTGGTATCTAATGCATGGGCTTTATTATTTTTTAAGAAAACATTGGATGTTGTCAAGCTTGAAGCACACATACTTACCATAAAATACTTGCTGTTTTTGTTAGCCCAGCAGAAGAACTACATTTTGGTTCCAAGGAAACTGGAGAGAAGAAATGCTTGATAGTTCTGACAAATGTGACTAAAAACACAGTGGCATTTAAGGTACTGTTTTGTTTATGGAGTAAATATGGTCTGAATAATAATACAGTGGTGCCTCACACAACGATGTTAATTGGTTCCAAAAAAATCAATGTTGTGTGAAACATCGTTCTGTGAAACACCATTTCCCATAGGAATGCATTGAAAACCGGTTAATCCGTTCCAGTTGGAACGGATTGCCGTCCTTGAGCGAAAATCCCCATAGGAAATATCGTTGAGTGAAACAATGTTTCCTCCATTCAAATGTATTGAAGCCGACTCAATGCATTTGAATGGCATTCCGATGTCTCTTTTCCCTCATTTAAAAGTGCCTTAAACTGTTTGAAACCTGTTTTAAATGCTTGGCATCGATAGTCCAGCTTGTGAAACGTATGCAGATTTAATTTGGTGTTGTTCTGAGTCGTCGTTAATTTTTGGTGATTTTTTGTTTTCTCCATTGAAAGCCATTAGACAGACCATTCAATGGCTTTCAATGGAGAAAACAAAAAAAAACCAAAAAATAACGACGACTCAGAACAACACCAAATTAAATCTGCATACGTTTCACAAGCTGGACTATCGATGCCAAGCATTTAAAACACTTTTCAAACAGTTTAAGGCACTTTTACAGGAGCGAAAAGGCACATCCGAAAGGGCTCTTTGATCTCCGTTTCCCTGCTTTTGAAGCTCTTTCCAATGTGCCTTTTCGCTCCTGTAAAAGTGCCTTAAACTGTTTGAAAAGTGTTTTAAATGCTTGCTATTGTTAGCCCACCTCCTGAACCCTATGCAAACTTAATTTGGTGTTGTTCTGAGTCGTTGTTAATTTTTGGTGATTTTTTTGTTTTCTCTCTCATTGAAATGTATTGGACGGACAGTTTGCAAGCATTTAAAACAGGTTTCAAACAGTTTAAGGTACTTTTAAATGAGGGAAAAGAGACATCATTGTGTGAAAATCCCCCATAGGAAACATCGTTGTGTGAGGCGGCAAATTTATCAGAAAAAGCCATCGCTGCTTGAATTCATCGTTGTGTGAGGCACCCGTTGTGCGAGGCACCACTGTACTTCATTGTTTTCAGTATGAAATGCCAAGCTATAAAGTCTACAATTGTAAAAACTGCTTGTAAAATCCAAGGGAGACAAACAGTCTTAAAAATAGATGTCCTCTAACAAGTTCATTAAAGGTTTCTGTTTTTTCCCTTTTAGAAATAGCAGTTAAATATTAGTAAAAAAATACAAGTGAGAAAGAACAAAGATTCATAGGGGCCCTTCCAGCTCTGCAATTCTAAGATGATGATGATTTCTAAAATTAATTGTTTTATGAGAAGAGTAGGTGGGGAGAGGTGTTTCCACATCTCAGTACTAGAACTTGTAGTCATTTAATGAGATTAATAAATATATATAGTGATGCCCCACCTGACGACGATAATGCGTTCCAGCAAAATCGCTTTACAGCGAAATCATTGCCAAGCGGAAAAAAACCATTGGAATTCATTGAAAACCGGTCAGTGCATTCCAATGAGGGAAAATACCTGCTAGTCCAGCGAAGATCCTCCATAGGGCGCCCATTTTGCGATGCCTGTTTAGTGAAAATAGGTCCGGAAAACAGCGGGGGGGCATTTTGGGAACCGCCGATCAGCTGTTTTTAATCATCGTCTAGCGAACAATCAGTTTGTGAAGGAGGGTCCAAATCATCGTGAAGCAAAAAAAACCCATTGAAACCATCGTTTTGCGATCGCTATAGTGATCGCAAAAAACTCATATTTAAGCGATTTTGTCGTCAGGCGGGGTCATTGTCAAGTGGTGCGCCACTGTAGTAGGTTCTGAGCAAAAAAAGAAACATGCAAGATTAATTCTAATGCCTTTGGGTAGTTACTTCTGCAGATCTTGTAGTCCTCCCCAAGTATCTTGATAACTCCTTCTTATGCAGGGATTGCATTATTTTGGTTATTTTGTATGGAAAATCAAGTTCACTATTTGTGTGTCAGAGCAGTACATATGTTGGGCTGTACTAGTAGATCTTTTAATGAATTGTATTAGATAAGCCTAATTTCACATGCTAAATTAAGAGAACGGGAAGTCACCAGTAACGAAATCCAGGTAAGCTTAGCTTAGTGTGGGTAGCACTGGAAATATATCCCAAAGCCTGCTGTTTCCACACTTTGCAGCTCCCTATTGAAAAGGGGCTAGGCTGGCTTCCTCTCTAGGCTTGCTTTTTATGGCAAGCAAATATGTTTTCTTCCAAACTGGCAATTAAGCTGGGTTGCAACTTGAGAGGTTTTAGTGGTTGGATGGTAATACTGCTTTTATTCATGTGGTGTTATTGTGTATTTAAAGTGTTCCTGTGTCTTAATTGGATTTCTGTTTATACTTCAATGCAACTGGCAATCTGTATACTACTTCTGGGAGAAAAGTGGGGGGAAGTATAATAGATAAATATGCTCAGAATGTAATGAGACCATTTGATTCTTGAACACAAAATATGCATCTCTTGTGATTCCGATTGGTAGAGTAGATCTAGACAAATAACAAAATGGCTCTGACAAGCCTAAGGCCATACCTCTGAAACAGTATGCTGGTTTTTCATGTACAGTATTACACTTTGATTAAGACTGGAATTCCTGTGTTCTTATGATGGTTGACATTTATTGTAGGGCAGTGTACTTGTATTTGAAGTGGTGAATATACTGATTCCAGACAGATTTACTTCGAAATAAAGCAGTTTACTTCCATGTATTCTTACTAATACATTCCTAACCCTGATGTTAGGAAAGTGTGAAGGCAAGAGGAGAAGGGGACAGCAGAGGATGAGATGGTTGGACAGTATCATTGAAGCAACAAACATGAATTTGATACAACTCTGGGAGGCAGTGGAAGATAGGAGGGCCTGACGTGCACTGGTCCATGGGGTCATGAAGAGTCGGACATGACTAAATGACTAAACAACAAGAAGAATTCTTAGGATGTCTGAGCTGCTTCATAAATAGGAAAAGGATGGTGAAATTGGAAGCAAAATGGGATTGCACTAATTTCTATGCTGCTTGTGCAGCAGTGGCATGTGAGGTTATTATGTAGGTGTTGCAACATTAAAACTGGAAAAATGATAGGTTTTCACATAATTACACTAGGTGAGAACAACTGCTCCTGACAAATACAGAGTGAAGCCAAGTAACAGCAGCTGTGAACCAGGCACATCGCTAGATATAGTAGTGTCTCTTCATGGTGGTAAGTAAAAACTTGCATATACGTTTATTAATGTAGTAAATTACTGGGATGTCAGTATGTTGAATCTTTATATCATTGACTCACAAACCCTGTTTAGTCAGAAACATTCTAGTTGAGTACTTTACTTCTCTCCGCTGCAGTAAGGGAGTCAGCCTCCTTTGAGTCCAGTTTCTAGTCTTTCTCAGGTAGTTTATTAGAATGTAAAATGACTGAACCACACTGAGAGGAAATTGACTTGCTCGGTCCCCTTAGAAAACCTGTAGAGTTATTGGCCATATTGTTTTGTTTGGGGCAAATAAGATAAACTTCCCAGTGTTTTAAGATCTTGCATTTAAATGGCTAGCCTCTGATTTTCAAACAAAAGTTGACTCTCATGTTTCATACCCTGGTATTCATGTGTGTTATTTAAATGACTAGTTGCAGCTAGTTTTTACTATGAATAAAGAGCTTTGCAATTTAGAGGAAACTTACAAATATAAAGCATGTTTACAGTATACTTTAAAGACATTTAATTTTTATTTATTTTCTTGAGAGCTTTGATTGACATCATAATGAAAATAATTTAAATTTAATTTTTAAATACTAAAGTGCTTAACTTAAAGTGCTTAACGTCATCATTTTTGGGCTTCAGAAAATGAAATTTTCATTGAGCCATAGAGGATTTAACATATGAGATGGTAACTGTGATGATGGTGGTGGTGGTAATTAGGGAAATACATTGGGAAAACTTTCAGGTTTGATTTGTTTTGGGTGCTTGCAGGCAGTGCCTCATTTATTTTCCACTGTTTTAAACACAAAAGAGACTGGCTCCTTTGGCTGCTTATATTTTATTTCTCCCCACTTGTGTTTATCTGGCACTTGTCTAGAAGCCCTTAAAAATACTTAAAATATTACAGAAAAGCAGAGGTAAGTTAGACAACAGTTCATATCCCCAGAACCTTTAAAACAATTTTTAAAAAGCAGGGGCAAGAGGGCAATCCACACTAAATTAAGTAAAATTATTTTCAAGAAATAAGCCTAACATGGAAAACTCCACCCAGAAACACACACGGGAGGCAACAACCCTAAAACTCATTGCCCTTCTCTCCAAAAACTAAGAAAAACAAGAAAGCCAATAAGAACAATGATACAGTCAAAGCAACATTAATCTAAAATGACTAGAATAAGAAGAGGTTTTTCTTTCAATTTCAATTATTTTCCTTGCTTGCATCTACTACCAACACAAATCAGCAGGCAGCACAAATAATCCCGGAAAGGAAAGGGGGCAAAAATCCCCAAGAAATCAACAGGGAAGAAATCATCAAAATAATCCCAGAGAGTCATGGTGGCACCATAGAAAGGCTGCCTGGTGATAGCAGCAACCATAATCTGAAGAAACCTGGCGGGGGCGGGGGCGGGAAAAGAGCCAAAAAGGATCCACTGGCTCAGAACAGATAGCACTATCAAGATGGAGGGCACCAAAGAGTTCAACAGCACACAAATCCCACCCACAAGGAAAGAGAAAAATAAAAATAAAACATTCATCCCTGGTTTCTAACCAATCCATGTCTGTTTACAACTTTGCATTCCTCTCTGCACCTACTGAACTTTCTGATTTGCTGCTGATAGCAGCCCTCACTACACCATTTGATCAGGTCTTTCCCTGTCAATTTGACAGACAAGATGTGAGGGAAAGGGCAAACAAAAGAGAGAAACACAAAAGAATCCACCACTTTCTTCATCCTGTCTTTTGTTAGAATGAAGCATTTAGATTTTGGAGGCTCCCTTTTGGAAATCAGCAAAAGAATAATAAAAAAGCCCTTTTTTAATGTTTTTCCCATTTGTGTTCACCTGAAATTCCCATTCCTATTGATGATCATCCTTATGATATTACCATTATCATCATCATCATGGCAAATATTTTATATCACCTTCTATCACAGTATATAGAAATATAATGAATATCTAGTATACTATAATAAAAACTATAAAATATGAAAATACTGCTCATGCTGTTAACATTTAAACCTTGTTATTTTTAATTTACCCTGAAATTTTGCTACATATTTAATGTTGGACGGATAAGTAAAAGGTAGTGTAAAATTGCTTTTATATATATCTAAATATGTGGAGATGTATTATAGTAGTGGGCAGCTTGGACATCTGCAGGTGGACTACTCAATCCAGTGCAAGTGAGCAGAGGGGTTGTTTTCTCCTTCCCACTCTAGCCCTCCTTTACAGGTGTGTTGGAGTGGTGAAAAAACATCCTGGCTACTTTTTCTCTGACGCTGAGTGCTGTATTGGGAGTGGGAACTGAAGAAATGTAATAATGTTTAGAGTAGGATATTCTAGAGCAACTGCAGCACAGTCATACTCTTTTTTAGAAAACCATCCCAAGGTGTTGAATTTATCCAAGAAATCAAGGTAAAATGACTGAGATTGCTGCCTCCCATCTGAAGTCATCCACTGGGGGTGGGCAATCTCAGTCATTTTTCTTGGATCCATTCACTGAATAAATAAAGCACCAAACAGGATGCACACCATTTCTAGACTTCCTACCATTCTTCTTTCTAACTTCGTGAATTTGTAGATTGTAGTTGGTGCTTCTAGTTACTATACATCTTCAGTAGCAAAGCAAGATGTTTCTAAAGCCTGTGAGGTTTTTCACATCCTTCCTCATAGGACCAACAGCTTTTGTTGCTTGACCAGGTTGTACAGTCTCCCTGCAAGACCGTTTTCTGATTATGGCAGCAGAAATGGACCAGTGCTCTGCTGTAGGGACACAAGAATTGACTCAGTTTTGGAAAGAAGTCCCCAGAAGCAAAGTGTTGGAGCATAGGTAAGTAATTCATGTTTTAAAAGGGTTACTTGATTAGTTTTTGCAACCTAAAATAAACATGAACTGCCACACATGTAATTGTTTTGTATCTTTCGTGTCTTAGCAGAAACTAGTGAAATTTAAAGTTGATGCAGTTGGTACATGTGTCAGTTGTAAAAAGAAAAGGTGGTATTTTTAATTACACACACACAGAGAGAGAGAGAGAGAGAGAGAGGCTAAAACATTATTTATGATGCTATGGCTATATGGTACAGTAATATGTAGAACACTACTGATATTGTTACTCATCACAAAAGTGGTCGTAGTCTTATAAATGTAATCTGATAGTAATGGAAGCAGTTAAGTGCTTATCTTTCAGTGTCTCACCCCAAGCTCAGGCTGTTGGAGACACTTGAAGTTTTCCATGCATGCTCTGTGTTTGGCTGTATACTCTGCAGTTTTACTTCCCCCCTCCCAATACCTTTTATTAATGCTACATTAGATTACCGACTCTGTACTGCAGAAAGAAGTTAGATAAGATTAGCTGCCAGCAACTTCTTTTGCAATATGCCTCACAACCCACATAATATCATATACATTTAGAGACAGGGATACATATTCTGACCCTATTTGATGCCGTAGTCTACTCACATTTCTTGAGGCAGTAGCATTCAAATTTTATGTTTGTATCCTAAATTGATCTCTGTATTCTGCCATAAGAGCCTGGTTAGGTCTTGTGATGGATGCTCATACTGTCTTTGGTCACTATATAGTGGCAAGGGGAACTGAAAAAAAAAGTTGAGTTATTAAACATGTCAAAAAAGTGCAAGCTTCTTAACAGAAATCATGAAACAGGAGGAGAGAAATAAAAATACAATTGTGTCATCATATAATTTTACTAATTGGTAAAATGTATTTTCCTAGGTTAAGATGTCATGTAATTGAAAGCAGCAAGCCTTCTACTTTAACATTAAATGAAAATGCCTTTAGCGTTCCTGCAAAAAGCAATGAAGATTTACACTTACAGGTAACACTTGGGAATGCTAATATGTCGTTTATTAGGGTATTCTGCCATAAGAGACTGGATTTAAAGGACTGAGCAATTCATGGTTCCACTTCTGCCTTCAGCCTCTCATACTCTTAAAAACCAAGCCAAACTGTCTTGCTCTATAGTTCAAGGAGTAGCTGACACGTGCCTCTCTGTATATGTAGTGATACACTCTTCATATACAAGCGGGCACCTTTCAGTCCTTTTCTTACCTACCTTGGATAGATTTTAATCTGAGCTGGAGTGAGCTTGAGGGTTTCTAATGCCTTTTCTCTTTTAGCAAGCATTTCTGAATTCTAAAACTCCTTTCCAAGGCTGAGATCACTCAACTTTCTTAATATCCTTTTTTGAAAACTAAGCTTTCTGTATATCCAAAGCAGAAAGTAGTTACACCAGTTCTTGAAATGCTGCTCTTTAGCATATGCTGGAAGAATGAATTAATCCTTTGTTGCTTCTCCACTTTCTTTAAACGTATGGCACCTCTGTTTTAAAAATATCTAATGTGAGAAATGAGCTTCTGGTGTGATGTAGGACATAGAATGTTGGAGTAGGACTCAGGAGACCTGAATTCAAATTCCTCGTTGGCATTGGAAACTCACTGGAGTGTGGTACTAGTAAAACCATCCTTTAAATGTCTCATATATCTTGAAACCCTGTTATACTAGTGGTCACAAATGCTACTACAGTGGTGCCTCGCACAACGATGTTAATTGGTTCCAAAAAATTCATCGTTGTGTGAATCATCGTTCTGCGAAACACCATTTCCCATAGGAATGCATTGAAAACCGGTTAATCCGTTCCAATTGGAACGGATTGCCGTCCTTAAGCGAAAATCCCCATAGGAAACATCGTTGTGTGAAACAATGTTTCCTCCATTCAAATGCATTGCAGCCTTTCCAATGCATTTTAACGGTTTAGCGAAGTCAATGTTTGCAAATTTAAGTGTGTCATAAAAAGGTCAAAAACGGTTTTAAATGCTTGGATTAGCTTCTGCACCCTCTAAAACGGATGCAAAAGTTAATTTGGCTTTGATCTGACTTTTTGTTAATTAATGGTGAATTTCCCCCCCCCCCAACTTTTGACAGCTGTCAAAATCTGACAGCTCCATTGTTTCCTATGGGGGAAGAAAAAATTCACAAAAAATTAACGAAAAGTCAGATCAATGCCAAATTAAGTATGCACCCATTTTAGAAGGTGCACTAACGATTCCAAGCATTTAAAACTGTTAACAGCCACCTTTCCTGCTCTTTTTTGCAAACATCGTTCAGTGAAACAGGGGACCCAAAACGCATTCGTTGTGCGAGGCACCACTGTATTAGCTTTTCATATTTGCTGTGCTGTGCTGAATATTAGTCCTAGGTGGTGCTGTTGTTTAGTCGTTAAGTCGTGTCCGACTCTTCGTGACCCCATGGACCAGAGCACGCCAGGCCCTTCTGTCTTTCACTGCCTCCCGGAGTTTGGTCAAATTCATGTTGGTAGCTTTGATGACACTGTCCAGCCATCTCATCCTCTGTCGTCCCCTTCTCCTCTTACCCTCACACTTGCCCTACATCAGTGTCTTTTCCAGGGATTCTTCTCTTCAAAGTGTTGTAGCCTCTGTCCTTCCAGTGAGCACTCAAGGTTGATTTCCTTCAGAATTGATAGGTTTGTTCTCCTTGCCGTCCAGGGGATTCTCAAGAGTCTCCTCCAGCACCACAATTCAAAAGCATCTACTGTATTCTTTGGCGGTCAGTCCTCTTTATGGTCCAACTCTCACTTTCATATATCACTACCGGAAAAACCATAGCTTTGACTATGCGGACCTTTGTCAGCATGGTAATGTCTCTGCTTTTTAAGATGCTGTCTAGCTTTGCCATTGCTTTCCTCCCAAGCAGCACTAATTTTGTCGCTGCTGTCACCATCTGCAGTGATCGTGGAGCCCAAGGAGGTAAAATCTGTCACTACCTCCATATCTTCCCCTTCTATTTGCCAGGAGGTGATAGGGCCAGTGGCAATGATCTTAGGTTTTTTTATGTTAAGCTTCAGACCATTTTTTGCACTCTCCTCTTTCATTCTCATTAAGAGGTTCTTCCTCCTCACTTTCTGCCATCAGAGTGGTATCATCTGCATATCGGAGGTTGTTGATATTTCTTTTGTCAATCTTAATTCCAGTTTGGGATTCATCCAGGCCTGCCTTTCACATGATGTATTCTGCATATAAGTTAAATAAGCAGGGTCCCTACCATTTTTGTCCTTTATCACGTCCATCTTTGCACAAAATGTTCCTTTAATATCTCCAGTTTTCTTGATTTCTGGTTTTTCCCTTTCTATTATTTTCCTTTATTTCTTTGCACTCTTCGTTTAAGAAGGCCCTCTTGTCTCTCCTTGCTAGTCTTTGGAAGTCTGAATTCATTTTTCTGTAACTTTCCCTATCTCCCTTGCATTTTGTTTCCCTTCTGTCCTCCGCTATTTGTAAGGCTTCATTGGACAGCCACTTTGCTTTCTTGCATTTCCTTTTCTTTGGGATGGTTTTCTTTGCTGCCTCCTGTACAATGTTACGAGCCTCCATCCATAGTTCTTCAGGCACTCTGTCCACCAAATCTGGTTCCTTAAATCTGTTCTTCACTTCCACTGTGTATTCATAAGGGATCTGGTTTAGATTATACTTGAGTAGTCCAGTGGTTTTTCCTGCTTTCTTCAGTTTAAGCTTGAATTTTGTTAAAAGAATGATCAGAACCACAGTCAGATCCAGATCTTTTTTATTTATTTATTTTCTTTTCTTTTTTGGCTGACTGTATAGAGCAGTGGTAGTGAAACTTTTTGGGCTTGCATGTCCAAATGGGGGAAAAAACACAAAAAACAATAGCACCAAGGGCGGACGGTTTGCCTCCGGAACTATTCAAAGAGAATATTGACTGGTGGGCTCCTTTCCTTGCAGCATTATTTATATATATCGACTCTACGGGCCTTTTTCCTGTGGAATGGAATACTGCAATAATAGTACCTCTATTCAAAAAAGGACTAAGAGATAAGCCGGCAAATTTGTGGTAAATGATATGCTAGGCATCTTCAGGATAAACTTGAGACCTGGTTGGTTGAAGAAAATAGGACAGTTGTAGAGCAAGCTGGTTTTAGAGAGTGTAGATCCACTATGGACCATTGTCTCATTATCCAACACCTTATAGAGATATATGCGTCAAAGGGTCAAACCTCATTATATGCCGCATTTGTCGATCTGAAAGCGGCCTTCAATTCGACCTCAAAACAACAACTATGGGGCAATTCAGAAGCCAACTTAATAGATAAATGATTATTTCTATGGTTGCGTGTGCTACATGACAATATAGTGGGACATCGCAAGACGACGACCTCGCAAAATGATAAATCCGCATGACGACAAAGTTTTGCGACCGCCATTGCACTTCGCAAAACAGTGTTTCCTATAGGGGAATTTCGCTATACGACGTTTCGGTCCGGCCACATTGGTTGCCCCCCTTTTCGTTGTTGTGAGCGGCATAGAGAGGGGCTGCTGCTCCCTACCCGGGCACTGAGGCCACGTGGAAGGCTGCGGCAGGACGAGGACAGCCGGCGCAGGGACTGAAGGCATCGGAGAAGATTGGTGGCTTTGGGGGGACAGCACCGGCTTCCTCCCCAGCAGAGACAGCGCGCAAACAGCTCCCTTTCCCCCTCTGGGTTCCCCTACCAGGATTCCAGGCCTTTTTTCCCCGGAGTAGGAGAGCGCGCCCAGTTCCCCTCCTCCTCTTGGTTTCCCTCCCCTTCCACACCAAACGACGCTTACTGTAGGGGGCGACTGGGGAGTTGGGGGGATCGCAAGCGGCTTCGTGGATGAACAGGGTTTCCCGGCACAGTGAGGAAAGCCCAGGATTTCCCCGTGCCTCCTTACACGAGCGGGACAGTGTGTGCGGTTCCCCTCCGCCCCTTTTGCTTCCCTACCTGCCCACAACAAGCAAGTTTAGGATTTCTTGGTCGCTTGGTTTTCCTCCCAACTCGTCACCCAAGTGGGAAGCGAGTGCCGGCTCCCCGCCTCCTCTTGGCTTCCCTCCCCTCCCACACCAAGCGGCGCTTACCGGAGGTGCATCTGGGGAGTGGGGGGGAGGTCGCGAGCAGCTTCAGGGACAACTAGGGCTACTTGGGTAGCTAGCAACAGCAAGGTTTTCCCAGGCTGATAGCGGAAGGAATTCCCTCCCTGGGCGCCTTTAGCCTTAGTTTTTGCCCTTTCGGTGGGGTGGGGAAAGCCCCAGGGGATTTCCCCATCTCTGTGCAGAAGGATGTTCCCTTCACCATCGGGGCAGGGGCTGCCGGGACATGGAGGGGGAGGTCCCCTTTGTTCTTTCTGGCCATGTGCTCACTCAGGAGCTCCCTTTCAGCATTGAGCAGAAGTTTCCCAGCCTGGGGCTCGATAGGGGGAGGTTCCCTCGTTGCTAAACGGGCCGCGTCTAGCAACTCTCTTTGTTTTTGCCAGCCACATGGGCACTCAGGAGCTTCCTTCCAGCACCGAGCAAGGGTTCCCCTGCCTGGGGGACGAGAGGGGGAGGTTGCTTTTGTTTTGCCAGCCACGTGGGTACTCAGGCTCCCTTTCACCACGGCGCGGGAGTCCCCCGGACGGAGTTGAGAGGGGAGGTCCCTTGGGCATTAACTGGGGCCAGGTGGGCACGGAGGAGCTCCCTTCCACCAGGGGCTATCAGCAACAGGGGGCTTGCGGCAGCAGCCAGCCATTGTTCAGTTTAATTCAACAGCTGATCGGCGGCTCTGCAAAATGGCTTCCCTAGGGTGTTTTCGGCACTGATGCTTTGGAAGACAACGATTTAAAATGGCTTCCCTGTGGGCGATCTTTGCACAACGATGCCTATTTTCCCCATTGGAATGCATTAAACAGTTTTCAATGCATTCCAATGGGGAACCGCTTTTCACAAGATGATGATTTTGCTAAACAGCAATTTCAATGGAACGCATTATCATCATTTTGCGGGGCAGCACTGTACCAACCCCCAGGTTAGGCTCTAGGAAAGGAAATTTAACAATTTCACCTATAGAGGAGTAAAACAGAGCTGCTTACTGGGCTCAGACCAAAATCCTTAGAGCAATTCTTGAAGTTCCAAGATGCGTACCAAATGCACAAATTCATTTAGAGACATGCTCACTAACAATGGTAGCCAAAATTGTACTAGCCTCCCTTCAGTACTGGTTTAAAATTATCAGTTACAGGGATTAACCCATCTACTTCTAGAGGACAATTTTCAATCAAAGTGGTTGGAAGCGGTCCTAAACAAATTGCAAGTTATGGGCTTCTCTCCACAAGCAATAGTGAGTATGCACTGGGATGAAGCAAAAACAGCTCTTAAACAGAGAATAATGGACATGGAAAGACAGGTAGATCTCAGTAGATGCCCCAACTTCAGAGTGATAGACACGCACAAATATCGCTTGCTCCCCATGGCCTATTTATCACAGATTGAGACATATAAGTTTAGGAAAGCCTTTACTTTGGCTAGATGTGAGCCTTTCCCTTAGTGGTGTTGGAAGGCAGGTTTAAGAAGATCCTGACGGAACAGAGACTCTGCCCTTGTGGATCTGGTGAGATAGAATCCATTGAGCATACACATGCCATAGGTTCGCCATCGCTGGTATAGAGCTTCTCTATCTGACTGCAGAGAACATAATAAATCTGATTTCGGTATTGCCCATCTGGTGATGTCCATGTGTAGAGTCATGTCTTGTGTTGCTGCAAAAGAGTGTTTCTGATTACCAGTTTGTTCTCTTGACAAAACTTTGCCCTGTTTCATTTTAAACTTCAAGGCCAAACATGCCTGTTGTTCCTTTTTTCTCTTGACTCCCTACTTTAACATTCCAGTCCCCTATAATGAGAAGAACATCTTTCTTTGGTGTCAATTCTAGAAGGTGTTGTAATTCTTCATAGAATTGGTCGATTTCAGCCTCTTTAGTGGTTGGTGCATAAACCTGGATTACTGTGATGTTGAAAGGTCTGCCTTGGATTTGTATTGAAATCATTCTATCATTTTTGAGATTCTATCCCACTACAGCTTTGCCCACTCTTTTGTTGACTATGAGGGCTACTCCATTTTTTTCTATAGGATTCTTGCCCACAATAGTAGATAGGATAATCATCTGAATTGAATTCACCCATACCTGTCCACTTTCGTTCACTGATGCCCAAGATGTCAATGTTTATTCTTGCCATCTCATATTTGACCACATCCAACTTACCAAGGTTCATAGATCTTACATTCCAGGTTCCTATGCAGTATTATTCTTTGCAGCATTGGACTTTCCTTTCACTTCCAGGCGCGTCTGCAGCTGAGCGTCCTTTTGGCTTTATCTCATCTGCTTCATTAGGTCTAGAGCATAGGTCGGGGAACAGAGGTAAATTACCCCAAATGGGGTAAAAGTGAAAATCCTGGGGGTAATGAGCAGAGTGCTACACCCCTCTGTCCCACCCCCACCCTCTGCAGCCAAATCTCAAATTGTTAAGCCACCTCTCCCTGTTACTTCCTGGTTGCAGCAGGCACTTGTAAATCCTTCGTTAGTTGAAAGATCGGTAGATAAGCTCCTTGATTGGTTGCAGCTGTGGATTAGCCCCAGGCAATTAATCAATCTGGAACTTCTGAATGACTGCTTCCTCCGGAAATGATTGCAAACAAGCAGCAGGAGGGAAAGGAGCAAGCAAGGTAAGGAGGGAAGAAAGGTGCGAGAGACCGAGGACTTCATTAAGCTTATTTAAATGTACAGTATGTAATTGTAGAATATAAAGGGAGGGAGGAAATGGAGGGTGTGTGTGTGTGTGAGAGAGAGAGAGAGAGAGAGAGACTCAAAACTATGAAAAAGAACTAACAGTTAGCAATTTGGTCTCTAGTTCCTCTGCCCCTTCAAAGTCCAGCTTGTACTTTTGGGAGTTCTTGGTCCACATACTGCTGAAGCCTGCCTTGGAGGATTTTGAGCATAACCTTGCTAGCATGTGAAATGAGTGCAGTTGTATGGTAGTTGGAGCATTCTTTGGCACTGCCCTTCTTTGGCATTGGTCTGTAGACTGATCTTTTTCAATCCTCTGGCCATTGATGATGATAAAAAAATGGTGCACTGGTCCTTTGATATTGGGCTGTGGCACCAAGGTGTGTGACATAATCTTTAGCCTGGTTTGTTCCTTTTTCCACACCACACATAGAATGATTAAAGTGGTAGGGAAAGCCGCCTCTCCAATTCTGCGTTGGCTGTCTCTAGCAAGCATGTCATTGCTAGCACCACTCTGGCAGCCACCGATGATAATTAAATCCTCTGCGAGCTAGCAAAAATTTAATACAGCTTGCTAGGCACGCTGGACACCTTACTACTCCCTATACCACACCATGGCTGGAGTGCATTGTGTGCCAGCCAAAATAGTGCACATCTTTATCAAATTTGGCGCATCCTGCTAGTTCGGTACACAGCCTGTGTACATTCAATAATATTTTTAATTCAAATAATGTATGATTTCCTTCCTTTTGAATCAAGGGGGTAATGTTGGCATATATATACAGTGGTGCCCCACCTAGCAACAATAATCCGTTCCGAAAAAATCATCGCTATGTGGATTTGTCGCTATGCGGGGCAAAAAAGGCCATAGGAACGCATTAAAACACGTTTAATGCATTCCTATGGGCAAAAAACTCACAGTTCTGCGGAAATCCTCCAGGCGGCTGCCATTTTCGCTGCCCAGTAAGCGGGGAAAGGGTGTGAAAACACAGCGGGCGGCCATTTTCTTCACCTGGCGGCCATTTTGGAACCGCCGATCAGCGAAACACTTACCAATCACCACAAAGTGATGTTTTACCATCTAAAACATCGCAATGTGATCGCTTTTGCGATCGCAAAAAACATATTGCTATGCGGATTCGTCAAACGAATCGCTCGTTATGCGGGGCACCACTGTATATATTTGGGGGGGGGGGAGGTAAAAAAAGTTCCCTGACTCCTGGTCTAGAGCTACTTGTCCTCCACTCTTCCTCAGTAGCATGTTGGATGCCTTCCATCCTGAGGGGCTCATCTTCCAGCATCATATCTTTTAGCCTTTTGTTTCTGTCCATGGAGTTTTCTTGGCAGTGGCTTGCCAGTTCCTGTTCCAGGTGGACCACATTTAGTCCTAAATAGACTGACATAAGTGTTAGTTTAATGAGTACGTGCATTCAGTGGGTTTGCTCTAGTTGGAACCAACACTTCGATACAAGCCAATATGATCACAGCTATTGCATATAATATTTTCAAATAGTTATGTTGTATAATAAAACAGCAACTCTCACTTACTATAATAGATATAAGAAAAAAACCAAATTCATACAATGTTGAAAATCCTTCTACACTTTCTTTTCCTCCTTTTTTACAGCTAACACAGCTTTTGCAAGCTAACAGAAGACTTCAAGAAAAGATAGACCGCTGTGTCTGGTTCCAGCAATTGACTCTTTTGTTAGTATTTCTATTAGTTGCCATTAGTACTTTTTGTTTCTACCTGTTGTATAGTCCAAGCAACTAAAGAGTAATGCCTATAAAATCTGCCCTGTGGATATAATTCAGTTGGGAAAAGGCAAAGAACCAGTAACATTCTGCAGAGTGATGTGAACTGCCAAAATGAGACTGTGTTGTTCGTCAAAACCTAAAAATTATAGGGCTAAGAGTTATGCCTTCAATCAGCATGTACAGTGACTTTGTTAATATTTATTACTATATAAGAAGAAACACAGAATATTAAAGAAGTCATATTCACTGGATAATGTAATAACTGTTACAGAGCTAAAGATGCTTATAACTTTCTTTGTTTCTGTCACACAGAAGGATACAAGTTGTATAAAAATAATATATTTTGTACATAAAATGTAACATTTCCTTTGAAATGTAAGTGTAAAATAAGTAATAGACTTTCCTATATTGTTTATACATAAATTGTGTGTACACAGTATCTGATCATGCAGTTTGAAATGGAAAAGCTGCATCCTAATAGCAGTGGTCTCTTTTGTTCATGTTTTCCAGAAGTATTACAGCTATTTTATACCAAACTGTTTTCATCTAATATGTATCTTGTAACTCTATTTCCCTGAAATTCCTGCTATAGTTCCAAAGATTCAGGAGCTTCTTTTTACTATACTGTGTCATAGTTTGTTACATGAGAGAAGGCACTGTACATCATGATAAAAAGAAAAGAACTATAGTTTTTCAGGAACTCAACCCCCTGTTCTTCATTGGGACATGGTCTACAAAATTGAAGTAGCTAGATAGAATTGAACCACAGTATTCCATTAGGTTCTGTTGTTTTTGTGTTCTGTGGTGTTACGGAAGTTATTTTCCTGTATTTTAGCACAAAACGTGCAACACCAACAACCATGGTGTGTAGGAGTTCAGAGTTATTGCTGTAATCATATCTCCCCTCCCCTGAAATACATGCTGTAAATCATGTGAGATTTTGAAGAAACAAATTAGGAAATCGCAAGCATAGGAAAGGAATTTGAATAGAATCATAGTAACTACTACTTTGAAGTATGTTACAGCTAGCAACATAGAAGGACAATACAAAGTTGTCTCGGTTAAATAGTGTCAGTACTTAAATGTTCTCAATTTAAAAACAAAATACTCCCAACACTGACTCTTTTTTTTTAATTTGTCAAAGTGAGAAAATACATAATGCAGTAATCTCCAAGGTCAGTTTTGAGTGCTTCTTTAATTGTGGAGTAACAGTAGAAAACTCTGAACAGTTATGGTTAAACAATGGGCTATTCACTAGTATAGCATGTTTAGAGACATACATATTTGTTTTGTGTATGAGAAGGTGAAATTTTGAATATTCAGAGGCATTTACAATGCACTCTTCAAGGTTATAGCAGAATCCCTAAGTACCCAAAGTGCACCCGGTGCAGTGACTTTTGTAGACACTCATTCATGACTTCAGTAGACCTAAGCACTCAGAACGGAGCACAAAACCTACCATTCCAAAGTTCTACATTTATCATGGATCCTTAGTTTGACAGTTCTGTTAAATTTTCTGGTTTTGTAAAAGTTGATTAGTAATGTTTGTGAGTTTGGCTGCACTTACCCCAGAGTTATTTAAAACTATTGATTTAAAGAATTAATTAATTAAGCACATTTATCTCTTTTGGACTGTAGCCTTAATATATAGCAGTATTTGTTTTGCTTTTCTGGCACTAGGGTTCAAATTAGACACAATAGTAACAGGAACTGCTTTTAAAGCATGCAAGTCTGTTACCTTTCTGTCTTGTTTTATTCCTAACCCCCAAACAACAATAATAATCTATTCTGTATTGAAGAGAGAGGTACCTGTGGCCTGCCAGACATTTGTGGACTGTAGTTTGCTATAGTAGTCCGCTGTAGTCAGTCCAAAAATACCAGCAGGGGCCATGGTTTCCAACTCAAGCTGCATTGGCTTGTGAGTTACAGTTGATTTCAATTTTATCAGTTGTTCTGAGTATCATTCATCTTTTCTATTTAAAAAACATTGCAGACAAGCCAAAACTCTTTTGAATAACTTGTTTCTCATATCAGATTTTAGAAGTCTGGCTTTCGATAATGTTACCACTGAAAAATTCTAGTTCCTTGGCCAAGTCATCTGTAATACAAAATCATATCGAATAATTCTAATCTCAGAATCTTCATCACTATATTGGATTGGATTTAATTGCACTTTACTAGGCGTGTTCCATATATGTTAATAAAATCTATGCCAATAAATACTCTTAATGTTCTGGTGCTTAAATATTTTCAGTATTTTATTATTGTATTCATATTTTCTATGTAAAATTAATCAGATAATGTTTTCTATTTTAATATGTTGAATATAGATATATAACTGCATTTATGAAATAAATAAAAATAACCTGAAATGTTCATTGGAATTCTTAAAAAATATCCACATCTTAGGTTAGGTGATTTTCAAATATATGATCGCACCAAACATGTAAATCCCTGCTTCTGATCCTGCTGTCCTGTTGTGAATTACTGTATCTGTATCCTCTTTGAATAGCTTTGTGTGACTACAGACAGAAACTCCTCACCACCTTGCTGAGAAGATCTCTTTCCTTGTTTGCTCTTCTTTGTTGTAGTTTATGTTTCAAATGAATTACTACACTGCACTCAGATCTTGGTGCTTGATCTCTTCCTTCACTCAATGATGATGCTATCTGTTTTGTAAGCAATCTGTTTTGGAAAGTATAAAGCTTATGGAGTCAAGTCAACTGATTTGTGTCAAAATTCCATTTATTGTATCACTGGAGTACTGGTTGCCATTAATACAGCACTACTCATGTGATGGTTATAGCTTAGCCTTAGTGCTGAAGTAGTAATTTGAGCCTTCACTCAGTACATTGGTACAAAATCTGCCTAATTGCATGTCTTTTTAAGAGTTCTGTAGGAGTGGCCATGAAGCAAATCAACACTTGCTGTGTCAAAAATGTTTTGAATCCAGCAAAGACCTGCATATGCTGGATATGAGTGCTTTATTCACGTAGAGCTTTTTTGATTGTGTGAGTCACATCTAGTAATTCAGTTCTTTCCAACCACTATCCTAGTTTACAGAGCACACTGACCTCAGGTATTTTGCCTACTAGTCAGTGTCCAACGTGAAAAATCTCTTAATCCTGTGTTCCTAAATTGATTGGACCAGACTTCTTTTTGTTTGATTCAAGATGTGGATTCCAGCACAGCAAATTTAAGGGGGAACTCCTTCGTCTGCTAGTATGACAGTCACATGAGTAGCTGCATGACATTGCGACCTTTGTTTCCATTTTGCACACAATGTCTTATGACAAATGGGAACTAAACTCACTTTTGTTCTCCATTGTGCGGCCCAAAGAAATACAACATTTTTACATGTATTCAGTAATGAGCAATCAATCCCTCAAACTGTTTTTAAAATCATTGTTTATCATACCTATGGATCTTTTAAAAACAATACTTCTCTGACACTACATATAATCTCTGTGCATTGTTGCATCTTAAGAGAACTATACCAATCTCTGACAAAGGAGATATGTTTTGTTCCTTTAATTCTATATGATTTCAGCTTTTATTATTATGGATAGCGATTTTGATTGCAACTATGAGGGATGGGTAAATTCATACCATTCCACCTCATGATTTTGATTCAGCAAAAACTACTGTCCCTCTCCCCTCCCTTTTTTTCACCCATACTAAGGGGAATGCTGCAACCTCAGCATCACTGGAGAAATTGCAGCCCGCCTAACATTACCAATTCAGCTGAATTTTTTAATCTGGTAATGGGGCGGAGGGTGTGAAACAGCCATCAGGATGGCACATGCCTCATCCCTATTTTTTGATGTCAGCTGGTGCAGAAGATTTAAGCGGGGTGGGCAAAGTGTTTCTCAATGGTCACATGCAGGCATCCAAGGTCATTCATGGACCCCCAGATGCAAAAATGGTGTGTGTGTGTGTGTGTGTTTCTCATGGTTTACTCTTAGAAGCCTTCGGGAACTGGTTTCACAATAGATTGGGATACAGAAGCTTTCCAATCCACAAAAGTGAAAATGGATGACATCCAGGAATCATTTTTCATCATTTTTGCTCATTTGGAGGACTGGTATTCTCCCCAGTGCTTCCTGAGAACAAAAAATTGGGCATGTATGGAAGGGTTCCACTATTCTTCACTAGCTATATTGGCTAGGGCTAATTCTAAGGAAGTATGAAAATCACTTTAATTTTTTCCGATGTCCCAATATCTTTAAACTCTAATGTGCACATTTGGAAAAGTTACTATCAATGAAAAGGTGAATTCTCATCCATCACCAACTGGTGTGGTTTGTAACTGAGCAACATCTGGATGGCTACAGGTCCCCCAGTCTTGGCTAAAATTTTCTCATCCCTGCAGGCTGAAATGCAGGAGCTGAGGATGCCCACCCTGGCTTAGATAAAGGGTATTTTAGGCATTTTTAATATATTGTTTATTATATATACATATAACCCTTCAAGGTTTAAGATTAAAAATTATTTAAACAAGTTCTTACAGTATAACATAGTGTAATCTTCACCAATCCTTAAGATAATAAGGCCTTGACAGTCACTATAATATTCTTTGAGGTACATATATACCTCAAAGAATATTATATATATATATACAGCCTAAACTGTTCAGAGTCAAAGCAAAAATCTATGAGAATTGGAACATACAGGTTGACCTTTCAGTGTTTGCATATATATATATAAAATGTGGTCAGATAAGGCAGCTTCTGCATGAAATAACTGGTGCTATGTCATGTTAATGTCATAAATGTCTGTTTCTCACTGAGTGACATTAAAGTAGTCACCATTTCTAGCTCTTTTCATAGTGTTCTTCTGAATATAAAAATGGGAAGGCAAGCTTGAGCTCCCTGGATGAAAGGTGGGATATAGATGTAACCGCGTTTATCGCAATGCCCTGCCAATTACATCTCTGAAGCAAATACTAGTAATGCCATCTGGAATTACTGTGGTGTGAAGAATGAAGAAGGGGTGCAACATATCAAAAGGTGGGCAGAGAGAAATCTAGAGGAAGAACACCAGCAGTTTAAAAATGTTCAAAAAAAGATTATTAAAATAAATTCCTGACTGATTGATATAAGAAATATTAAATAATACAGAAATAATGCTTGTGACGCCATAATACAAATTCTCAACTTGGGGGGGGGGGGGGTTGGGACAGCTTGAAGTACATGGAGTACCTGCTCTAGAAGCCCTGGGGAGGAAAGGGGGATTTAGGGAGCCTCACTTCAAGAGAGACAGACAGCAGGAGTGCTGAGAGAGAGCACAAACAGAACGCCAGACTTTCCGTTCCTCTTGCTAAGCGCACAGCAGAACTGACAAATTGCTCAAAGGAGAAGCAGATCTATCACAAGCCACTTTGTTTTGTACAACTTACCAGAACACGAAGAAGATGACATGTGAGGACAGGAGGATCTTCTTTCCTGAGCCATCAGTTCTACTTCTTTTTGACTGGACAAGGCAGAGTCTGATAGCTATGATGGAGTTCAAAGGAGAAACTGCAGTCACCTCCCCTGCTTACTCTGCTTTCACATGCAACAAGCAATGTGACTGATCCTTCCTCAAACTGATACCATGAACCACACTTCAGTCAAAGAGGAAGAGCTGGATTCTCAACCTAATTACTAGGCTAAGTGCTTCCATCCAACCACCTGCAGCTGTTTTCAGTGTGCACAGTGCTGTCAAGCTTAAACTAGGATGCTCTGTTTTACTTGACAGGAATCTGGATACCGGAACCTGTCTTACTGGTGGGAGCAGGGAATGTGTCCCTCCATATGTTGTTGCACTCCCAACTCCTGTCAGCCCCAGCCAGCAGGTCCAGTAATGAAGGATGGTAGGAGTTGTAATCCAGCTACATTTCAAACTAATGGCAACTTAATTGGGGGGAAGACAGGAGCACAAGAGGTTTTCCAACTCCTGGAACATAGGAAAAATACTCCCTCTTAGCACATCTATTGCTTGGCCAACAATTGTCCTTCCTTCAGAAGTGTAACACTGAACCGTAATTCTTGAGACCATTTGGGCAATTTTTCCAAAGTAGAAAACTACATATACCTTCTAATTTTTCCTGTCCGTTCCATGCATTTTCATTTCTGTTTACACTCATATAATCACTGGCACACTTTCATGTATAGAATCAAATATATGGGAGACAACTAAAACAGTGTCACTTAGTTCCTGCTCTTTTCCTACTTTGCTACATCACTGATGCACTGGTGTTACACAAGCAGTGGTCCCCATGATAAACCCATTCCTGCTTGTGCAGTGACAAGATTTGTACAAGCGACAGGGTTGTGTGCTATTCCATTGGCAGGCCTTCAATAGCTGAAATCCTGTTGCTCCATGTAGTAAGTCACTCTAGAATATGCCCACTGAATCAGTGAGGATTTGGTGAGTCAACTTCTAAGTTAAGTCGCACCTAGAGTAGGCTCCTTTGAATCAGTGGTACTTACAGAGCAGTTGACTCACCAAATCCCCACTGATTCATCCTACTCTAGTGTGACTTACTACACTAAGCAATAGGATTTCAGTCAAGAGACTCTTAATAGGATACTGGCCTTACATTTTCCCATGAAGAGCATGAAATAGAAGTGAACAAGCTGTTCTGTAATCAAACTGTTCCTGAACAGTAGCTGAATGTTTGCTTTCAAATGGGAAACTTGCTTATATGAAAAGTTCATCATTCATTCTAATTGATAATAATTGATAATTCTAATACACTACTGTCAAACAAGATATCACTTATTCTGTATTTATGCCTTTGAGTTTCTTTACCTAAGTACAATACAACATGTCTATCCCTGTTGAAACTCACTGGATTCAATTTGGCCTGTTCAGGCCTGTACTGCCTTCTGAAATATTAGCTAACCACCCCCACTAAGACATCATCTGCACATTTGATGTGTATCCCCTCCACATCAGTATCCAAGTTCAGTAGCCGCTCAGAGTGGTATAGATTTACCAGATGAGCGGAATATAAATCAAATAAAAAAAAAGTTATTTATAAAGATGCTAACCAGCACTGGACCCAGAAGAACCTTGTTGCCTGCCGCTTGTCATTTCTCTCCAGGATAACAGTGGGTGAACGCTGTTTTGCGCATGACCCGTCAATCGGCTACAGATCCACCCAACAGTCGCATTGCCAAGCTCCTATTTCACCAGCTAATGGGTAGATGCTACGACCATTTTCACAAGTACCACTTTCCCACCCAGTTTCCTTTCATGAGTTACAGTTTTTAATCAGGGTAATTCACATATCAGTCCGAAAGTTGCTTAGTTGCGTGTTGTAAAAGTATATTTGCATGTAAGCGTACACAGCCCCAGTTACGTTTTTGGTAAGAAATTTCTTTTT